AAAAATAATTCTACAATATACATCTTTTGTGCATAAAGCTTCTCCTCATATTTAAAAATATTCCTTTGATGGCTCCTAATTGCTACATCAAGGAATATGTTAAGGTTTCTGACACGTATGGCCAACGTAACATAAGAAGGTGACATTTTTACCGCATCCTCATAAGTACCTGGTACTATAATTTTTTAGTCTAAATTTAGGTCTTTATTAAATCAGTAAGTGAGAAACTGTAACATTTTTATTACAAAAGTAAATGCTCATTATAAAAACTGAAACAATGCAAAAGTACATGAAATAAAACTCAGTCTCCCTATGCTTTTCCCCCAGAAGTAGTCACAATTAAAATGTTTTCCACGTATCCTTCTAGACCTTTTTCTATTTTTATTCAGAACACACACGATTATTTTGTTTTGTATCTTACAAAAAATGGAATTATACCTGCTTTTCTGGCTCAGTAATATATTCTAATGTCCATCCAGGCTATGTCAATACATACAAATCCACCTCTCTTTTTAAAAGCTACATAACATTCCACAGTATAGAGGGACCAAAATTTATTTGTGGTTTCCCTCAATTTTCCTCGTTATAAGTGATGCCGCAATAGACTTCACTCATACTAACTTGTGTCCTCCTAAGAGAATATCACAGACTCCTTGAAGTGCACCTGCTGGATCAAAGCATATGTGTTGTTTCTTTAATTTTGGTAGGTTCTGCTAAATCATCATCTGAAAAGGTCAAACCCATTTTATGACCCCAACAACGTATTAGGTGCCTTTTCCTCTACATCCTTGGATATCTTTTTAATTTTTGCCTGATAGCCCCCTGAAAAAGATCTAGTTGTTTTAATTTCCATTTCCCTAATCAGAAGTGAAGTTGAATTCCCCTTCATTGCTCAGACACTTGCATCTCTCTGAGAACTGTTCATATCCTCCATTCATTTTTTAATCATGTCAATTCTATTTATCCTTGATCTATTCATACATGTTACAGAAACTTTTTTCCCATTTTGTAACTTTGTAATGTCTTTTGTCACACAAAAATATCATCTGTGATAATGGTCAAATTTATATATCTTTTATGATTTGAGGTCTTTGTCTTACCTAACTGATCTACCCAAAAAACATGTTTTCCAACATAATCTATTCTCCAAACATAACAAATTCTCTTATACTTTCTTCTAATACTTTTACAGGTGTTTTTGTTTTTAAGTTCGTTCTTTAATCCAAATAAAAGTCATTCTGAATATGAGGATCTTTCTTTCCAAATAGTCATTTATCCCTATACAATATACTGATCATTTCCCAACTGTTTCAAAATACCAACTTTATTTTATACTAAATTCCTATATATAAATGAGTCTGTTACTGGATTCCACTTTGTTCCATGTACCAATCTGCCTATCCCTGCGCTCATCATTTATATTACCGCAGCATTACGGTATGTTTTGATACCTGGTATGGCAATCCTCCATCGCCATTTTTGCATTTGAGAAACTTCTTGGCCATTCTAGCACATTTATTCCTCTGGATGAATTTTAGAAGCAATTTATCAAACGTCCAAAAATAATTCCCATTGGGATTTCAACTGGAATTGCATTGAAATAATAGTTTAATTTGTAGAGTATTGCAATCTTTACAAAGAAGCCTTCCCCTCCAGAAACATGTACTGCCTGCCCATTTTATCTAGGTTAGCTTTTAAATTCTTCAGGTAAAGGTTTTTACTTTTCTTCATAACATTTTTGTACATTTATGTTTTATTCTTAAATGTTTTCTAGTTTTGTTGCTATTGAGAACAGAATGTTACTTTTCTGTAGGAGTAATTACAAATTACTTATTAGTGAGATTACACCTTTCCAAATGTTTAACAAATTATATTTCTATCCAGTGAACTGTCTACCCACATCCTGTAACCACATGTGGATTTTCATTATTTTCCTCATTGATTCGTATGAGTTCTTTACATGTTGAAGGTGTTAACACTTCACTTACATTTCTCATAAATTTTTTCCTACTTTGTAGTTTGGCTTCTAGTCCTAGGGTTTTGTTTTCTCTTTCTTCTTAAAGAAGTTTTACATTTCTATGTAGTCTAATACACTGATTTTAAGTAACAACAGATTTGAGCGCCTCACAGGAGCCAGGACCTGTATTTCTTTCCCTCACAACACCTGCATGGTAGGTATTATTTTTCTTCACTTAAAAGATCCCAGTTCAGGTATGTCTGATTGGAAAGCCTATGCTCTATCCACCTCAGCATGCAGAACTCCTTTTTCCAGATGTTAAATATTTACTTCTATATTTTATGATTTGGGGGACATTTGTGATGATTTATCATTTATTACATTCTCATATATGGTAGTTTATTTTGAGAGTGCTAAATAGGTTCCAGTGACCTGTACAAGTACTCTAAAGCTACAGGACACTGTTTTAACGAATGCAGCTCTATAATATGCTTAAGTATCAGACAGGGCTTGTCCCACCTTACTTATAATTATTCTGTCCAGTTCACCCAAAAATGGACATCTGCATCATATACAAACACCACATCTAGGAATATGGCCTCTCTTTCCATTTAGAACAGTCTTTCACATCTTTCAGGATATTTTATGATCTCCTCTGCACTTGTCTCAATAAGGTTGTGCTCACGTGGTTTATGTTTTTTGTCGTATTGTGATCAGAGTCTGTTTTTTGTTTGGTTGGTTTCTTCTTTTTCCATTTTAGTTTCTGCCCGGTTATTTCTGGTATTCAGAAAGCTATGAATTTTATATATGCATTGTGTACCCAGTCACTTCCTCAGTTTTTTGTTTTTTTGTCTAATAGTTTTTCTGTTATTCTCATTTTCAGCCAACAGCATCTACAAATATTTCCCTTCTTTTCATTTTAGACCCTCACCTCACTCTTATTTCATGTATTACTGCTTTGACAAAACTTATAAAAACCATGTTAAATAATATTCCAATTTTTAATCTGACACTGATATATTTCTGTGAAGTATATAGCGTGGATAATTACTTTAACGCTTACGTGTACTTTTGCATTAAAAAGTGCCTTTTTATTCCTACTTTTTAAAAATAAGAAATGAGGATTTAGGGCCGGCCCCGTGGCTTAGCGGTTAAGTACGCGCGCTCTGCTGCTGGAGGCCCGGGTTCGGATCCCCGGCATGCACCGACGCACCGCTTCTCCAGCCATGCTGCGGCCGCGTCCCACATACAGCAACTAGAAGGATGTGCAGCTATGACATACAACTATCTACTGGGGCTTTGGGGGGAAAAAATAAATAAATAAAAATCTTTGGGGGGAAAAAAAGAGAAACAAACAAGTTTAAATAAAAAAAAAAGAAATGAGGATTTATTTTTTAGTCAAATACCTATTTTGACCTCAGTTTAGTTGGTAGTTTGAACTTGATGTGAACTGTAAGGGAAAGACCACCTCGCTCCTAGACAGACCTCTGAAATGGCCTCCCCAGTCTCCCCCACTTCCACTCTCCACCCCCACCACACCCTCACATTCTGCATGTAGCAGCTGGAGTGGTTGTTAAAAAATGCAAATCTGATTATGTTATTCCCTGCTTAAAACCCAACCCTTGTATAATGCTTTCCCATCTCACTCAGGATAAAATCAAACATCCTTAACCTGCCCTACAAGACCCTACATGATCTGGCCCCTTGCCTAGCCACACTTCCCCCTCACCCACTATAATCTATCCACAAGTCATCCTTTCAGCTCCTGGAACGGGCAAAGCTCTTCCCCGCTTCAGGGCCTTCCCACACGCCATTCCCCCGCCTGGAAAATGAGCCCCCACTTCACTCTACACTAACACCTACTCACCCTTCATATCTCAGCTCAAATCCAACCTGCGAAAAAATTCTTTCCTGGCCCCTCTCTCCACAATCTGAAATTTGGTCTCCTTTTTATACTCTATCATAAAAAATACTTAACAAAGCTCCTAATTGTGTCTCTTATATCTTAAAAGGATACTCATCGCATCATGCAATCAACATTTAAATTGCTAAAACTCTTTCCAATACTGCCTACAAATTCAGTAAGATTCCATTTTACCTGCAGGACACCTGAATCTGCTGCTGTCATAGGAAAATACAGATACAAATTTACATCACTAGGAAATAAGTTTGCTTAAATATTATAATGAGTTTTGTTTTACGTAGTGTTCAGTTTGCTGATACTTTAGTCATAGTCAACTAATTTATATACCTTATTTTTTAAGTCATGTGAAGCACTAGGAAAAATGTGCTTTGTAAAATATTCTTTAAGAAGTATAGTATATTAATGGTATTTGATAAAAATTAATTATAACAAACTCACAAATTAAAAACCATTCAAAGTTGGCTATCTCCAGCATTCTGTAATATACACATCTCATCATAAAGAAAATATAAATTATATTGCAAATAAAAAATCCTTTTGGGTTACAAAGGCGAATAAAACCAACATTTACATACTGCTTTACACTCTGCAAAGCACTTTCACAAACATTATATCATTGAACTCTGTGGAGTAAATAAAGCAGGTATTATCACCATTTATAGAAAAGAAAACTGAGACTTAAGAGTGATTAAGTGTCCTCCCCAAGGTCACAGGACTTGAAAATAGTAGAGTCATAATTACAATGCAGGAGGGGTGGAGGCTCCCACACGTAAATTTCTTAACCAAAGAGAACTTCCCTCATGAACGCAGTGTCTGCAATTAGTATAGACTTGCGCTCCCTTCGCTAAAATTTCATTTCACCAAAGAACCACCATCGAAAAACCTGTTTTAAATATAAAGTTAACAAACTGCCATCAATCTGGGAAATAGCTAAATAAACTATTGTATACCCCAACTACAGAACATGATGCAGCAGTTCTTCAAAATGAGTTAACGCATTACCTGCTACACCTGAAGGACAGAATACACTACTACTTGTTAAAAATCAAAGATAATACAAGCATACACACACATAAAAGTACCTTAGAAGATCTAGGAGGATACATACCAAACATATAATACTTGTTATGTCTGCAGACAGGGCCTGGAAGTCAGACTTTAGCCATCTCTGTGATGTTTTAATTTTTACAAAGAAAATGTATTACTTTACTAATTTAAAATTAATTTTAAAGTTAACTTGCGGGGTGAACAAGGTGGTCATTTTTTTGCTCTAAAAAGCTATACATTTATAAGGGAAGTAGGGGCCCCCTCTAAAAGAGAAGATAGATGCTAAATAAAAACAGTTCGATTCTGTTAAAACAACAAACTGCTTCAATATCCCAAAACCTTCCTTTAAAAAAGCCATAGCTTAGAATTTTTTCTTTTTAACCTCTAATCTCCTTTGTTGCAATAAGACAACCAATAAACAACCAACTAGAAGAGTACAGAAGAGGCTCCTCCTAGAGAGATTTAGTTGTTCGAGTTCGGCCAGGAAGGTTTCACAAAGGAGCTGAGTTTTGAGGGAAATGAGAGGTGACTTGGCAGAGAGATACGGGAAGATTAACCCAGATGGGAAAATGTCTGGGAGGTGGGTCCACTGAGCTAATGAGAAGCAGGGGACAGGAAGAGAACTGCAAGAAAGTCCTGAAACAGGAGAGGATTCCTTCGGACGTGGGAGTCGCGAGGGAGCCGGGCCGCGCTGCCAGCCAGTTTACCTGGGTGAGACTCCGGCCCTTGTTGTGGTCAAACAATGGAGGCGTCCAGCGGCAGCGGCGTTCTGCGCTGGGTGCGCGAAGGGTCCCTCATCACCTGAGTACGATGCTCGCCTGGCGCTGCTGGGACGCAGGGCGCTCTAAAAAACACAGCATCACCCCATGCAGCCAGGCTCCTCCGCCGCACCTCCCGGCTCCCACGGCGCGGCCATTACCGCCTCTCCGGGGACCCGCCTGGAAAGGCTCCAAGGCGCGGCTCCACGGGTTTCTAAGCTGTTTCGCTCCCCCTTCGCTCGGCTCCGACAACAATGGAGCCGGACTCGGGACTCCGGCTCCCGCGGGGCCTCCGCCCGGCCTCGCCCCCGCCGCTGCCCATCCTTCGCCGCGCGCCCGGCCGCCATCTGTGACCCCCGCTCCCCGGCTCTGCGGGCCCACGCCGGCCGGCCGAGGCCCGAGACCAGGCTGCCCTCCGCGGGCCCTGCCCAGGGGCCGCCAGGCCGCGGAGCGGCTCTGACCTTCCCCACCGAGGCCCGGGGGCCGGCCCCGGCTCCAGGCCCGTCCTAAGTGATGGGTTGTTTTTCTTTTCTTTAACCCCCTCATCCTCCTTCCACCCCTGAGCCCGCTGCCCTTCCCCCCCGCCCCCACCTTGATCCAGAAAAGAAATAAAGAGACTGCAGCCCGGCCGCCCGAGAACTCACTCCAAGTGAGGGGCTGAGGCGCCCCAGGCCGCGGGCCCCGCGCACCCACCCTCCCTCTCCTCCCGGGACACCTCACAGGTGCGCCTCCGAGCCGCGCGCGCGCGCTCCGCACACCCAGACGCCTCCGGGGGACAGCGCGCGT